CAAGTAGGGAGAAATGTTTTTCATCTTTCATGGAATTTGCATACCGCCTACGCCACCCACCCACACACCATCCCCTCCATGGATTACCGGGAAGTGCAACGAGCAGCGAGCTTCAGGCTACGATTTTTGCCATACTTTAAGCGGAAAATGGTGTCGATATCCGAGCCCAGAAATTTCTCATCTGCAGCCAAGTATTCCCCCCACAGGTGGGGGTCTCCAATTTGTTGCGGGCGGAGGGTGGGCGGGCAATCGGATTTATACACATTTTATGCCACCCATCGACGCTGATTCCAATTTCGATTCCGAGCGGGGGAATTTCACCAAAATAACAAACTGTAAAGTGACGCATTCCGCCAGCTAACGGCATTTGTTTGGCCACAAGTGTTTAGATACCCCTTGGGGTGGGGTGGGGAGTGCCCCTCTGATATTTGTACATTTATAATCGTTCTGATTGCTGACACAAAATAGTCCACAATCAGCATTAGGGGGAAATTGCAGGCCAAGCTGCTTTCCCAGGCAGTGATCTACAGCAGGAATATGTGCACCGATCTATACCCTGATCTATAATATGATGCTATAATATATGTATATAATATAATAATAATATATAAATATATTTATCGTGATATAATTCATGATTTTAAGAGCTCCTTCATGCTGATATTTGATCAGCAGGATCCTTGATATTGCATTGAGTTCTCCGAGCAAAGATTTAATTATTGAAATATTTATATCTGCAGAGGAGTTCCTTTTTCCATGTGGGTTTGCAGGCACCCCTACCCCCACGGTATTCTTTTTGCCTTCCCTTTTTTTTATTTTTGCTTTGCGTTTTTCTTTCTTTCTTTTTTATTGTTATTATTAAACGGCGCCGTTTGCCCTGTCATAGTTATGGCTCCCCTGGCCGTGCGCCTGCTACCAAAGCAGCAATTGGCGGGGTGGGGGCAGGGGAATAAAAACAACAACAAAAATCGTTAAAATAAAAAAAAGTGCGACGCGCGCGCCTTTTCAATAATAATTATCGCTGTGTGTCTGTTTGAGTGGGTGGGTGGGGGTCGAAGGGGCAGAGTGGTGGTGCGTGTCCAGTCACCTTGACATGTCGCCGCACACACACAAACACACCTAAAATCACACCAACACCAACAATAACAATAACTATTAAATACATTAAACCAACGCATAGACAGGGAAAAAAGTGCGAAAAGTGCGAAAGGAGTGCGAATCAAAACAATTATTGCTTGGACTCGTTTTTGGTTTTTTTGTTTCACTTTAATTGAAAGCATCAGCAGCCGAAGGAACTCACGGATGGGTCCGAAGCATTTGATACCCTGCCATCAGAGCTTCAGAGTCATCGAACTCAATTTTTGTTGTTGTTAATTTTCAGCAACCGATTCAGGGTCCCCATGGTAGCTGCACTAACAGTTAAAAAATGCATTTAAGTGCAGCCAAGTCCTGCAACAAAACAACAGCCATAACAATAGGGGAGAACAATTGCTAAGCTGCGGTGGGTTAGGTTAGCCTGCGGGAAACGCTTTCATGGCACAGCTAAAAATTAGCAGCATGTGGCACTCGAATCTCTGGACCAGTGGAGCACCCGTAGATTGAGAATGATTCTCATGATTCTCATGCTTTTGGAAATGTTTTTAGCACGTCTGGAGCTGTGCAAACTTCTAGTGGAAGCCGTGCTGCCCTTCGCTCAGGGAGGGTATAAAAACGAAAGTGAATTTCAGGCATTGCTTGCAACTACAGCAGCAGCAGCCATAGACAAAGTCACAGAGAGATAGAGAGAGAGAGAGAGAGAGAGAGAGAGAGAGAAAGAGAGAGAAGAGCAGTCAAAGTTGAAGAGCAAAAAGCAGCAAAGCAAAAGCAAAGCGTGGGAGCTTTTGTCTTTGCCATTTGCTTTATGTTTATGCTAAATGAAATGTTAACTAAATGTCGGGCAATTAAATTTTAACCACCACCCAACGCCTCCCCCACTCCAGCTCCCTCACTGTCTGTCTGTCTCTATGTCTCTCTGTCTCTCTTTGGAGCTCAGCTCTTTAACACTTTCGGTCTCCATTGAACGGCCGCCATTGAAAAGGGAAATTGAAATTGAAACAGAAACAGCAACAGCAACAGTGACTTAGTGGGCAAACGGAGGGGCAGGAAAATTAGCAAGGGAGAGAGAAAAAAAATGGCTGAGGGCGAGGAAAATTGGCGGCGAGCGAGGAAGACGGCGACAGAAATTGAAATGGTTTCCCAGCTGCTTGCATATGGCAAAAATGCAATTGTTGCTCTTGCCTGAGCTTTTGTTGCTGTTGTTGTTGTTGCTGTTGCTGCTGTTGGCTTTAATGTTTATTTAACACGCATTGCCAACACGTTTACAGTTACCATTTAGCGCCGATTCCACTGCCACTACCGCTGTTTCTGTCGCTGTCGCTGTTGCTGCGCTGTCGCCTACGAGCACCACCTCCGCCGATGCCACCCACGCAAATGCTCAGACAAAGCCCGGGCACAGTGGCAACTGCCTCATGGCGAAACTTAAGCAAGCGATCGCTGAGCGGAGGCGCATTTTTGGCAAGCGAATTGGCGGATTGCATTTGGATATTTTTTTGTATTGCTGCCTGTGAAATTATCCCCAAAGCCCACAGTGGATCAGCGGAGGCTTGCAAGGGCACTCCACCGAGTGCCCTCAAAAGTAGAAAAATATTGATTAAAATATAATATAATATAATTAAATCTGAAATATGCACTTGAACTAATTATTTAGCTAATGCCTCTAGCAGGTCCAAGGAGCAGAGCAGGGCCTATGGCTACAAACATCACTCGGTTGATGTAACCCAACTCGCATAATATTTGAGGACTATTCTACAGAATACAGAATCTACAGCTAAAAGCGCTGAAAACCAATATATATATTTTTTTTAAATTATATTATGCTATATGTATATTATATTATTATGCTAAAAATTATAGAACAAGGGTTTACAGATGGTGCATGGTGAAAGCTCTTCCGTTCAGCAGACCAAGGAATTTAAGTCCAATTCAGAAAATTCCAATCATGGCATATTTTATTATTATTATTATTATATATTATTATTATTTTTAATATTATTATTATACTCTTTTGGGTTCCAAATTGGGTATTTATTTGAGTTTTACTCCACTCGCTTTACTCGCTCTATGCTCAGATAATGCTTTATTTTGTTCATTGATCAGACGAGAGATTAAATTTGCTGGGCAAATGGCGCTGGCACCACGGTGCCATGAGTATTTCAAGTTCATTATAAATAAAACGTAAATATTATTAAATTGTATACAAACGGGCACGTTGCACGTGTCTGTGTGGGAGAGTGTGCTCGTCCGTGTGTGCACACACACATGCACCTCCCCTTGTAGGTGTGGGTGTGTGCGTGGGGGCGCGTGTGTCCACGCTTGTGTGTGTGTGTGTGTGGTGAAGTGTATTGAACTCTTGCTGCATTTTTTGCACAATTATTTTCGATATTGCCGTTGTTGTATTTTTGTTGTTTTCTTATTTTCTTTACATTTTCGTTTTCGTTTCTGTGTTGGGGGGCTGGCTGTGTGACAATTGTTTTGCTTCTGATCGCCGCTGACACATTGATCGTTATCGAGCGCTATCGATGTGATCGATTGTTTGCGCCCATCGATGCTGTGGCCATCCAATCGGCTTGCCAGAAGCAAAAGGAGAGTGAAGATGCAGAGGGAAAGGAAAGGAAAGGAAAGGAAAGGAAAGGAAGAGACGTGACGTGATGTGAGCGGCCAAGGGATGGGGGGCACAAAGGGTTGTTGCTGTTGTCGTTGTTGCTTCTTTTATACCCGTAATCCAATTTACATTTTACAATTTTCGGAGCAGCTGACACTGACCTCTCCGCGCGCACCTTTGAGGCGGTCAACTGTAACGATGACGACGTCCACGACGACAACGATGATGTTCAAGATGATGATGATGATGATGATGATGTTGATGATGACGCACCCAGAAAAGGGACTTCCGTTCTGTAGAAGCTTGAGGTTAAGGTTGAGGAACTGGCACCGGGAAGTGCATAAGTGACCAAAAGATCAATCTATTGGAATTGTATCTACATACTACATACGTATGTACGTATGTATTGTATGTAGGTTGCTGTTCCATTAGGAGTGATAGAACGAGAGAGAATGGCAGGGGGTGAAAAGAGACAGAGACAGCGAGTGAGAGAGAGCGACAAACATGGTAAATGTAGCCAATGGCAACGGGATTTTACCCAAAAATCTAAAATGCATCCAAACAACTGCAAAAGATAATCGTAAAAATGTATCTGTGTGTGTGTGTTCGTTTACTCCTACTGGATGCAGCCCAAAAAGATACATACATACATATGTATATGTACATATATACAAATTTATGTGCTGCACTCCCCCTCCATCACCTACCAGATGCCTCAGGAGGAGCAGCGGGAAGCTGCTCTCCTGCTCTAACACACACACACACACACACGCACGCACGAAATATCTGTGTGTGTGTGTGTGTGTGCGTAATCCTATTTGCAGCCAAATAAAAAAAAAAAAGAACAAAAACGAAAGAAAATCCGACAAAGAATTGATTCTGCTGCTGCTGTTCTGCTGCTCTCTAAATCTTGGACGTCGAAGGAAGCAGCAGCAGCAGCAGCAGCAGTGGCAGAGCAGCAGCGGCAGCGCAGTCTCTGCACTTTTATCTAACCAATACCAAGGCGCAAAAGAGCAGCCCACCACCACCACCAGCAGCAGCAGCAACCAGCAGCCGCACGCACACGCACGAACAGCAGAAAGAGAGGAAAAAAAAAACGAAGCAAAGGCAGCCATTGTGCCCGCTCTCGCTCAGATAACTTGGCTCTCTTTTCTACTGCTGCTGCTGCTGCTGCTTGGCTGCTCTGCTGCTCTGCTGCTCGGCTGCTCTGCTTTGACGCTGCTCTGCTCTGCTCTCACGCTGCTCGTACGCTTTTATAAATACAACTCCGTAGATGGTGTATCTATACAGTCGAGCTTCATCTGCCTCTGCCGAACGGTTGCGCTGCGGCTGCGCTCAGAACTCGTGTGCGCGTCAACGCGAAAGCATCTGCAGCGCCTCTAAAAAAATAATACCAAAAAAAAAAAACAAGATCGAGAAGCAGTAGCGGAAGCAGCTAAAACATACAAAACAAAATAACGCAAGTGCCAGAGGAAACTGCAACAAAAATAATACGAAAACAAACACTTTTGGTGCAACATATTTTTTTTGCGTTCAACGAATAATATCCATTGGAAATATATCCATAGAAAAAAAACAGTGATTTTTGTTTTGTTTGCCCCATCTACCAAAGAACTGTGATTAGATCCATCAACGGATCGAAAGCACACAGTGACACACACAAAACAACAACAACAAAAGAGTGCATACAAAACCAAAACCAAAACCAAAACTAAATCGAAACCAAAATCGAAATCGAAATCTAAAGATTAGTGTGAAAAGATCTGCAAGAGTGGCCGTGTGCGCGCCCCGTACCCGTTTCCGTTCCAGTCCAGGCCCCAAAGCGGGAAATGCCGCCGCAACTACGAAAATAATCAGCAAAGGTAAACCTTTATTTTTTTTGTTAATGTGAAATATCCAAACTTTATTTTATTTTTTTTTTTTTTTTGTGTTGTGTGAGAGTGGAAATTAATGTTTGGATATGTGGATGTGTGCATGTGGAAAGCCCTGGCCAATGTGGATTATCGACAGGATTGGGTGGGGGGGATAAGCTATGTGCAGCGATAGCAATCTTTGGAGGGGGGACGTGGGAGCATGATGCAGGGGAGTCTGCAGTCCGGAGAGTAGAGAACTTCAATCGAATCCGATTGTTGTTCCCCCCTGTGGCTTCAGGTTACAACTTCTCAAATTGCAAAATTCCATTGAGATTCTGTTTACATTCCATTGGATTGAAAGTTTCCCCGAAATGAGCAGAAAGCCTCCAATTCAAAAGAGCTTCGGACATTTATTTCATTTGGTTTACAATTTTCCTCAAGTTTCCATGCTGTGGCAAACGCTGCGTTCAATTTCAAGCTTAAACTTCGATACGATTGAAATTAGCCAAAAAATAACTCGCAGATTGAGAGGATATTTTATTTTAACTTCCCTTTTCTGCCAAAAAGAAAATTCCCATCAAATAGGCAAATCAGATTTATATTTTAAAGTGCAAGAAAATCCCAAATACTTCCGTTCCTGTTGGCCTAGAATCCCTGCAGATACCGATCGAAATGTTCCCCTAAAAACAAAGGTCAGATCTGGCCTAATTTTTGGCATTTTAATACCCGTTTCGGGTCAATTTATTTGGGTCAAGTTGTGCCTTCAATTACGGACGCTCATCATCGTCTCTTGCAAAACCCTTTGAACTTTGACTTTGACTCCTCTCTGACAGTGAGTGAGGGATGAGCCAGGAGTCGGATCACCGCCCCAGGGCAACCCCAGGGTTAATGCAGATTGACGATCTGTGTAATCTTTGAGGTGTAATACGCTGCACCACCCCAGAGGCAGTTCAGTTGGCTGTTAACATGATTAGCATGTTAAGGGGGAAAGCATTTGATTGATAAATCTAAAAATGGTATTACTACGGGAGCCAGTAAAAGCTGCCCCCCGTCAAGGACAGAGGGCAGAACGGCGGGGCTTTATTATCTTTATCTGAATGGATGACTCACGACACACTCCCGCACGAACGAATTTGGCTCACTGGCTGGAAAATGTTGATATTATTTATTTCGGTCAAGTAAGGATTTCCACAAGGAAAAACCTACCATGCAGCGTTTGTGGCAGCATTAGCATTGATAACAGGGGGAAGGGAGAAATGTTAATGAGCCTGCCCCCACATTTTCCATTTGTCTATGCAAAAATGAAGTACAGCAGCGCCAAAAGCCAGATAAGCAATCGATTCACCTTGACAGCTTTGCCAGATGGCTCTCTCACTCCCTCTCTCTCCCACTCTGTTGTCTCGCTGTTGCCTCTCTGTTGCCTCTTTGTGCTGGCTGTGAGAGAGTGTGACGTGTAGGTTTACCGTTGCACCATTCCTTTTTGCACAAGTGAACTGGCAGCTGATTGAAGTCTACCCAGAATTGGACTTCGCGGTATCTTTTACACAAGTGCAGTGCTGATTTATCGATCGAATCGATGTGCTGCTGTTGCATTTCGCAGAGAAATGGTCCGGGACTCTGCAGTGGAGTGGAGTGCAGTGAAGAGGAGAGTCCGTTTCGTAAGAATATTCTCGGAATGTAAATGTACATTTTGCGCCCACTCATTCGATTCCTTTAGCTTTGTTTGGGCTGGCAATGCCTTTGTTTTAGTTTAGTTTTTGCCTGTGACACCTTTGGACTGGCAATGCCCAAATCATTCGTTGACTTGCGGATGGATATTCAACTTGCAAGCTGGCAATGCCCATCCAACGACTGGCAGTGGCAATGCATCTTTGGTTTTTGATAGCTGGCAATGCCACAACTACATGACTGACTATCTTACTGTCCTTCTGTCATTTCTGACACTTGTGTGTAACCTTTCGTCGCATTTTTCTTTCGCTTTAGCACACCCAATTCGATCTCAGTAATCAGCCGAGTATAAAGCAGCAAAATGTTGGCAACACAGCAACAGCAGCAGCAGCAGCCCCAGCCCCAGCCACCACACGCCGCCGCCGCCAACGTAGTCACGCAGGCAGCGGTGGAGCGTCAGCGGCGCGAGTCCACCACATCGGAGTCCTCGCTGGAGCATCTCGACCTCGGCCGCACACCAAAGAAGCTGAGCAGCAGCAGCGGCCCACAGCCCACATCGACGCCACACGACACGGCCCCAGCGACGGCGGTGATGTCAGCGTCGCGCAAGCGCAAGCTGCGACAGCACCAACAGCACCAGCAGCAGCAGAATCTGCACAGCGACGACGAGGAGGAGGAGGAGGAGGAGCCACGTCCGCTGGAGGAGACGATGGCTGCTGTGCAGCAGCGGCCGCGACACAAGCAGCGACGCAATGCGAACGCCTCGGCGGCGGCCAGCGCCAGCATCGTGATGGACTACAGTGCCGGCGACGCCAGTTCGCTGCGCAAGAAGTTCCGGCTGAACCGCAGCGGCGCCACCGCCAACGGCGACCTCTCGGAGTCCGGTTTCGTGGACGCCAGCAGCTACAACAACAGCCATGCCGCAGCGGCCGCCGTCTCTGCAGCAGCGCAGCAAGCGTCGAATGCCTCCAGCAGCAGCAGCAGCAACAGCAGCGGCAGTGGCAGCGGCAGCGGCAGTGGCAGCTCGGGAGCCTCCTCGCCGGAGGGCCTGTGCCTGTCGAGCGGCGAGTCGGGCATCGGGGCCGGCGACGAGCACATGAAGTACCTCTGCCCCATCTGCGAGGTGGTCTCGGCCACGCCCCACGAGTTCACCAACCACATCAGGTGCCACAACTACGCCAACGGCGACACCGAGAACTACACCTGCCGCATCTGCTCCAAGGTAAGTCCAAACGGATCCCCCTGCTTGCACCCTGCCCCCCCATTATCGAGGGTTCACTGTAGCTGCATGCTGCATGCTGCCCCTTCCATTTCTCACCTCTATCCAGCTCTTGTGCATCATTTCCTGGGCCAATTCTCACCCACTCTCTCTTTCTCTCTTCCCCTCTTCCACACGCCGCTCTCCCGTTGCAGGTGCTCTCCTCGGCCTCGTCGCTGGACAGACACGTGCTGGTGCACACGGGCGAGCGTCCGTTCAACTGCCGCTACTGCCACCTGACCTTCACCACCAACGGCAACATGCACCGGCACATGCGCACCCACAAGCAGCACCAGTCGACGACGACGCAGTCGTCTGCGGCGGCGCAGCAGTCGGTCGCGCAGAGCGGCGGCAGCGGCTCTCTGTCGCAGCAGCAGCGACGCCTGTCACAGCAGCAGCTGCAGCAGCAGCAACAGCAGCAGTCACTGGCGCAGTCGCAGCAGGTTGGTGGTGGTGGTGGTGGTGCTGGGCATCCGGGACGTGCGGAGAGCTATGAGAGCGATGCCAGCTGCTCCACGGATGTCTCCAGTGCACACAGTCATGCCAACAGCCATGGGAGCAACAGCAACAACAACAACAACAACAACAATCCACACAAAGCGAACAACAACAACAGCAGCAGCAGCAGCCACAAGGAGATGCAGCAGCAGCAGCTGCAGATCCAGGAGCGGATCAAGCAGCGTCGCCCCAAGACCATCATCAACAACAACAACAACATCATCCTCGACGAGGGCTCCCCGAGGGCAGCGGTGGAGCAGGAACTGGAGGAGCATGAGGAGCAGGACATGAAGGAGGAGCAGCCCGATCCGGACAGCGACGAGGATGTGGCCATGCCGCTGTCCATCACCAGCACCCCGGATGTGGCCACCCTGCTGGCCGGCGTGAGTGCATCCTCGCGCGCTGAGTCGCGCTCCCGCTCCCCCTCGCCGGGCATGCCCCTGCTGAGCTGCCCCGCGTGTGGCGCGGCCGACTTTGAGACGCTGCCCGGCCTGTGCGCCCACCTGGACGCACGCCACTCGGACATACCCGCCAAGTGCCGCGACTGCGAGGTGATCTTCGCCAGCCACCGCCAGCTGCAGGCGCACTGCTGCCGCGGCCTGGTGGGGGTCGATCTGCCGCCGATGCTGGGTGCCAGCAGCTCGCCGCTGCACCAGGGCGAGGCGGATGAGGATGAGGAGGATGCCGAGGACGGGGACGGGGACGAGGCCCGCACCGAGCGGGAGGCGGAGCAGCGCGATGAGTTTTTCCAGCAGCTGTACCTCAAGGGCAAGGCAGCCGCTGCCGCAGCAGCAGCAGCCGCCGGGGCGTCCATTGGGGCCTCGTCGCCGCCGTCCCCCATCAAGCACGAGCCGGCGGACAGCAAGGATCTGGCCGACATCCAGAGCATCCTGAACATGACCAGCTCCAGCTGCACCTCCAGCTTCCTGCGCAACTTCGAGCAGTCGGTGAACACGCCCTGCTCCAGCCAGTACAGCCTCGATGGCCGCGACCAGGAGGAGGAGGCCCAGGACGTCTTCACCTCCGAGTTCCGGCGCATGAAGCTGCGCGGCGAGTTCCCCTGCAAGCTGTGCGCGGCCGTGTTCCCCAATCTGCGCGCCCTCAAGGGCCACAACCGGGTGCATCTGGGCTCCGTCGGCCCCTCGGGCCCCTTCCGCTGCAACATGTGCCCCTACGCCGTCTGCGACAAGGCGGCCCTCGTGCGGCACATGCGCACCCACAACGGGGACCGGCCGTACGAGTGCGCCGTCTGCAACTACGCCTTCACCACGAAGGCCAACTGCGAGCGGCACCTGCGCAACCGGCACGGCAAGACCAGTCGCGAGGACGTGAAGCGGGCCATCGTCTACCATCCGGCGGAGGATGCCAGCTGCGAGGACAGCAAGTCCCGGCTGGGGCTCGGCGACGATCTGGCCGATCTGAGCTTCCGCTCCATCTCGCCGCCACCACCGCCGCCGCCGCCACCCAGTGCCCCGCTCGCCGACGGCGGCTCACAGCTGAAGCACATGCTCCTGGGCGAGCCATCGACATCGACATCGCCATCGACCTCGCACACTCCCACAGCAGTCGCCGCTGCAGCTGCCGCTGGCGCTGCTGTTGCCGGGCCACCGTCCAAGATCCAGGTGAAGAGCCTCGACCAGCTGGTGGACAAGAAGAAGCCCGCCGCAGGTGGCAGCCCTGCGCTCGACTTTAGCATGGATGTGCTGGATCTCAGCAAGAAGCCAACAGCGGGAGGATCTGCATCTGCCTCCGCATCGGCATCGGCAGCCGCCACGGTGCCAGAACTGTCAGCCGTCCTGGAGCAGCAGCAGCAGCAGCAGCAACAGCAGCAGCAGAACCTGCTACTGGCCCAGCAGCATCTCTTTGGCGGAGCAGCAGCAGCAGCCGGAGCAGGCGATGCCGCCTCCCAGTACATGCAGCAGCTGTTCCGCAACCTCATGTTCCAGTCGCAGACGCTTCCCTTCTTCGGATTCATGGCGCCGCCGCCGCCGCAGGGCAATGCCGAGAAGCAGCCGCAGCTGAGTCCGCCCACGCGCATGGGCGGCCTGCCGCTGCCGATGCCGGTGGGCGTGGGCGTGCCCGTGCCGCCCGGCGGCCCCGTCAAGATGGTCATCAAGAACGGAGTGCTGATGCCCAAGCAGAAGCAGCGCCGCTACCGCACCGAGCGGCCTTTCGCCTGCGAGCACTGCTCCGCCCGTTTCACCCTGCGCTCGAACATGGAGCGGCACGTGAAGCAGCAGCATCCCCAGTTCTACGCCCAGCGCCAGCGCAGCGGCCACCATGTGATGCGCGGCCGTGGAGCCTCCAATGCCGCGGCAGCTGTGGCCGCAGCCGCCGCCGCAGCGGCAGCCATGAGCCAGGGCGGATCCGGAGCGGGGGGCCATGTGCACGGCCATGCCCCCATTTCGGAGCAGGTGAAGTACGCCATCCTGGCGCAGCAGCTGAAGGCGCACAAGAACACGGATCTGCTGCAGCAGGCGCTGGCCCACGGCTCCAGCAGCGTGGCCGGCGGCAATCCCCTGCTGCACTTTGGCTACGGCCCCCCGCCCCAGGCGCAGGCGCAGGCCCACGCCCACGCCCACTCGCACGGCCACGCCCACTCCCACTCGCAGGCGCACGCCCAGTCGTCCAGTTCTGGCGCCCATCTGCCGCATCTGGTGAACGGGCTGCACAATGGGAACGGAAACAGTGGCAACAGTGGGATCATCGGTGGGATCGGTGGGCAGGCAAGTGCCATCGATGACGACGAGCCCAAGCTGATCATTGACGAGGACGAGGATGGCGAGGGCGATGTGGAGGAGTTTGATGACGATGAGGAGGAGGAGGAGGAGGAGGATGAGCCCGAGGACGAGGACCCGGAGCCAGAGCCAATGGAGGAGTCGGAGCAGCCGGAGGACGAGCAGGAGCTGCCCAAGCCACTGGAGCAGCCGAGTGCCGCTGCTGCCGCTGCTGCTGCTGCATCGGCCAATGAGGCGGCCAAGAAGATGGCCGATACCATCCTCGAGCAGGTGATCAAGGCGGGCAAGGGCAAGGGCAGGGCCCACACGCCCACAGGCACCGTTACGCCGATGAGCACGCGCACGCCGTCACCCTCGCCGAGTGCATCGGAGGAGAGGATGCCGAGCAACGCGATGCCGGAGCCGAGTCCCCCGAATCCCACCATGAAGTCGATGATCGCCCAGGCCGAGTCGGTGGCCAAGTCGCTGAAGGAGGTGGCCAGCTCCCCGTTCAAGGACGAGTCGCAGGATTTGGTGCCGGTGGCCAAGCTGGTGGACAACGCCACCAGCAGCCAGATGAGCTTCAACAGCTACTTCCGGCCGAGCGACGTGGCCAACCACATGGAGCAGAGCGACGAGGAGGGCCTCGTCGCCTCCGGCAGCGCCAGCGAGAGCAACAACTCCGGCACGGAGGACGTGACCAGCAGCAGCTCCGGCAGCGAGCCGAAGAAGAAGTCCGCCTACAGCCTGGCCCCCAATCGCGTCTCGTGCCCCTACTGCCAGCGCATGTTCCCCTGGAGCAGCTCCCTGCGGCGCCACATCCTCACCCACACCGGCCAGAAGCCCTTCAAGTGCTCCCACTGCCCCCTGCTCTTCACCACGAAGAGCAACTGCGACCGCCACCTGCTGCGCAAGCACGGCAACGTCGAGTCCGCCATGTCCGTCTACGTGCCCACCGAGGACGTCAGCGAGCCGATACCCGTGCCCAAGTCCGTCGAGGAGATCGAGCTGGAGGAGCAGCGTCGCCGCCAGGAGGCGGAGCGGGAGCGCGAACGCGAGCGGGAGCTGCAGCTGGAGCGGGAGCGCGAGCGGGAGCTGGAGCGCGAGCGGGAGCTGGAGCGGGAGCGCGAAAAGGAGCGCCTGCTGCTCATCCAGAAGCTGGCGGCTCAGATGAATGCTGCCGCCGCCGCTGCTGCCTCTGCCTCGGCCTCGGCCTCGTCCGATCCTGGCGCTGGCGGAGATCTGCCGTACAAGTGCCACCTGTGCGAGGGCTCGTTCGCCGAGCGGCTGCACTGCCTCGAGCACATCAAGCAGTCGCATGCCCACGACTTTGCCCTGCTGCTGGCCAAGGGAGCCATCGAGCCGGAGTCGGCACCGGCACCGGCCTCGGCCCGTGGTGCCGGTGAGTCCAACCACCAGCACCAGCAGCAGCAGAGCACCCCGGGCGCCGGGTCCGATGATGAGGCGAGTGGCGGAGGTGGCCGCGGTGGCTCCGGCAAGTATCCGGACTACAGCAACCGCAAGGTGATCTGCGCCTTCTGCCTGCGCCGCTTCTGGTCGACCGAGGATCTGCGCCGACACATGCGCACCCACTCCGGGGAGCGGCCGTTCCAGTGCGAGATCTGCCTGCGCAAGTTCACCCTCAAGCACAGCATGCTGCGCCACATGAAGAAGCACAGCGGACGCGCCCACAACGGCGACAATCCCGGCTCCGACTGCTCCGACGATGAGCAGGTCGCCACACCGCCATCCACCCCAGGTCCCCAGATGCCTTCGGCACCGGCCACACCCAACACCAACACCACCACCAACAACAACAACAGCTGCCAGAACAACAACAACAACAATAACACCAATGCCAATGCCAATGCCAATTCGCACTCGAAGTTGGGTCTGCGTCTGCCGAAGCTGCACGAGCTGCTGGACAAGTCGAGCGAGTGGCGGGCCAGCCGCCTGGGCGAGCACAAGGAGAACATTGGGGAGGCGGCAACGCCGTCGGTGGCCGCGTCGGTGGCCAGCTCCGATCTGATCGGCAATCTGCTGGGCATCAGCGACCAGGGCATACTCAACAAGCTGCTCTCCTCCGCCGACGAGGCGGCCAAGCTGCTGGGCGTGGACAACAAGTAGAAGGTTGGAGCAGCAAGCAGCAGGCAGCAGGCAAACTATAGCAGAGTACTGAGCGTACAGTGAAGCACCAGAAGAAGAAACAGCAACAAGCAACAAGCAAAAACCATTTACCGCCTTACGTATACCAAAGCTTAAATAGTTTCAAATAATAATTATAAATAAAAATAATTATTATAATTATAATATAATAGTATCTGTAATCTAATATACTCTTAAAGAAAGTCCCTTTTTTTTGTTATTAATTTTTAATAATTAATAATTTTTTTTTTGTATCCAATATTTGTGGCATTCCATTGTTTAAGCGGTCCAACCGGATGTGGCAGACAAGTTACAAACAAACAAACAAACAAACAAAATTTTAATCAAAATTAGCAAGCAACAAAACAAAAACAAAACTAAAACTAAAGCAAAAGCTCGTAAAAGACCAAAATGGTTTTGTTTTTTTTTTTTTTTTTGTATTCTCTTGATATAAGCAAACAATATAATATGTAAACAATATAAGAGCTTAGCATTTAAGTAGCTGCAATGAAACAACGAAGGAAACATTTTTACATGACATGAGGAAACAAACGAAAAGACTTGAAAGGCAAACGAAAACCAGAGGCGATACTAAACAAATACAACCATATAGAGATACATGCATGCATAACATACACCCACACACACACACACACACACACACGTACATATATCATATAAATAATATTAAAACAAAAACGCAAAAGAAAGGAAATTTGTAAATTGTATTTTGGGGGCCTTGAGAACCGCAGCGTGGCTTAAACTTTAGACTAAGGACGACCAACAAGGATCGTTACAAGCAACTAAATTGTAGTCAATTAATTTAAGATAAACCAATGCATGGTGTTTTTTTTTTCGTCGTCGGTAATAGATGTAGCTGTAGCTGTAGCTTTATTTAATGCAACTCATTCATTGAGCTCACACACACACATACAACTAAATACATACATATGCACATATATAGATGGATAATTCATACATACATACATACCATATATAATTAATTAAATTAAATTAAATTAGTCGACTTCTTACAGCAATAACCAAAGCATTTCACTTACATATGTATGTACGAGTATGTAGCCTTTGTTTTTTTTTTTGTTTAAGCTAAAACCAACACACACACACGACAACAACCAATTTTAAGGTTTATTTAAATTTTAAATACATGTTGCATGCATCAAATATATACAAATATACAACAACGAAAAGAAATGAAAAGCAAATGTGCGTTACAGCATATCAATGATTTATAATGCGGAGCAACAGCAGCTATGCAACAGCATTATGGAAGAATTAAATTATAGCTACTACTTAGCCTTTTATGACCGTACGTACGTACGAGTATGTATTTAATTTTAACGAAAGTGTACTTAAATGTAAACTGTTAGAGACATGTTGCACACACACTTGCACACACACACACACACACACACACACACACACACAACGAGAATGGTTCTATTACAAATTGAATTCAAATAAAATAAAGCGATGTCAAAATCGATTATACGATGCCTATACACAATGCCTATTCGTACATCTCTGTTTTAATTTCACTTCCAATTGCATAGATGATCAATTAATTTGCAGTGCAAAGAGCTGGGAGGGGGGCGACTGGAAAATTAGCAATTTCAGATGTCTGCTGTCCGACCTGCGATCTACTTTCTACAATTATAAAGATTGCTGCAAAATCTGTTCAAATTCAATGTTCAAATTTCAGTTCGAAGTTCCGTTAAGCCCGGTGCAAGTGCTGTACGTGCTGTAAGGCGCAACATAAACGGTTAAACGGTTAAGAATGCTGTTACGCGCAGTCTCTGCTAACAGTAGCACTCATCGTGCTGTTACGCGCACCTGTTGTCGTATCTGACAGGTATATATAAAACCAAACATGTGCATTTATAGGTAAAAAACATGTCAATCTAGGATAAAATCATAAATAATGTTTCAATGGAGCTTGGAACAAAACATTTAACATCAATTAAAAGAAATAAGGTATACAAAAGTCCATACGCACTGACGTAACTTGGTTGCCCAGCAACAATGACGTCACATTCAGTCAACATTTACGTTTTATGCTTTGGCCGTTTTTGTTTGAACTTTAATATGTAAACAATCCAATGAAAAAGAGTTCTGAAAACTAGCCGATCCTGAACAAAATTTATGTATCTATCGGATAAAATTATTTGTTTACGGCTGAGAGGGCCAACTATCTAGTAATATTAAACTGAATATCAAAATTGACGAATTTCATATCACAAAATATCAATGTATGGCAGCCCGCAGCAACTACGAACTGCACGAGTCTGGTAATGCCGCACAAGCGACGTCACATTCGTTTTATGTTGTTTTTGTTTGAACCTTAATATGTAAATAAAAAGGACTTCTGAAAACTTGTTAATCTTGTACAAAATTTATGTATCTATCGGATACTATGGTGCACTACAGCAGGATCGAGGACACCGTTCCGATGGCCATGACTGCCAAGTGGATAGGCGACCAGCAGAGCGACGCGTCGCAGAAGAGATTTTCGCGAACTTTGATCTGTTGCAGCGGCCTTTTGTTTCTAATTATGATAACTGCCATCGCCGTGGTGGTGGTGTGCACGGGTGGACTGCAGAAGGGCGGCGTGGTGAGCTGGGCAGCAGAAGAGGAGCCAAGGGTGGCGCCCCATCGATTGGTTTGCTATTACTCAACCTCGGATGCGGATGCACTCAGACTGCTGGACGTGCCCGGGGACCTGTGCACGCACATCAACATTGGATTGGCCAGCCTGGACAATGCCACGCTGTGGCTGGGCCCCCAATTGCGGCAGGTGCTGCAGAACGAGACGCTGCCATTCCGGGCGGCCCATCCCCAGGTGAAGCTGCTCCTCTGGATTGGCGGCGCCGACAGTGGCAGTCAGTTTGCCCGCATGGTGGCGAATCATGCTATGCGCAAGCAGTTCCTGCGCTCCCTCAAAGCCGTGTTGCGGCTGTACCCCGCCCTGGACGGCATCGATCTCGATTGGGAGTTCCCCAGTGCCTACGACAAGGAGCGACAGCATCTCTCCCAGCTGCTCTACGAGATCCGACAAGAGTGGCGTCGCGAGCGCCGCCCCAATGCTCTCCTCTCGCTGGCCGTGGCCGCCCCCGAGGGCATCGCCTTCTACGCCTACGATACGCGGCAAATCAATCTCTACGCGGACTATGTCAACCTGATGGCCTACGATTTTCACTTCTATCGCGAGGACACGCCCTTCACCGGCCTCAACGCCCCCCTGTATGCCCACGCCACCGATACGTCCATCATGGCCACCTTCAACATAAACTACACGGTCCACTGGTGGCTGCAGAACGGTCTGGAGCCGCAGCGTCTGGTCGTCGGGCTGGCGACCTATGGCCACTCCTTCACGTAGGTGGTCCCATCTGGATCTGTTCTGCTCTGCTCTGCTAAAACTCATTCTCTTTTGTTTTGTTAATAGTTTGGTCAGTCCCTTGAATCATCGGATTGGGGCGCCCGCCTCGGGCTATGGAAAGTGCGGCCAGTATGGCTTCACGACGCTCTCGCAGACCTGCGAATGTGCCGCCAGATACCTGAGGCCGCTCTACGCCTACGACACGGAGACCTGCTCGCCGTATTTGAGCGGCCTGCAGGAGTGGATATCGTACGAGAACCAAACGAGCATCGCCTGCAAGACGAACTACATCAAGTCACTGAATTTGGGCGGCGTCATGGTCTTCTCGCTGAACACTGATGATCTAAAGAACTCTTGCCGTTTCCTGGCCACATCGGAGGCGGCGGACAACAAGCCAGTATTTCCACTGACACAAGCGGTGAAGGGTATCCTCGAAGGAGAGGGACTGTAGATAGACTGCTAGTATCAATTCTGATGTGTATTTAAAGGATGTTTCAAAAAGGGATGTGCCAGCCCCTCCCAGTCTCCCCCTTGAACTGCACGGTGGAGAGCAGTGCGCAAAAACGGAAGGGGAAATTACTTTTTGTACATAGTCATAGACACGATAACTTTTATGTTTAAGTATAAATTAAATTATCACAATCGATCAATTCATAATATAACTAGAGGAGATGGGGGAGGTTGGGTGGTTTCAACCATACGCAAATAATATTCATGTACATATATATCGGTTAAAGAGTGGAGCGGGGGGGTGGAATATCATGATATAGTACATGGGCAGAACTGGCTGCCCGCCCTGCCCTGCCCTGCCCTGCGCTGCTCTCATTCCCCCGACGTTAGCCAGAGTATGGTAGGATAAGGATAATGGCCCATCGGGAATGGTAATTGGTAGTGGGAAACGGGACTAGGATCGCCGCAGGCATGTCAGATTGGGCAGCGAGACACAGTAGATGCTTCTGCGTTCCGGCAATCATGTGTGCTTCGCTGGCCTCTGCAGGTTCGGGGGTGGATTGGCCAGCAGCTCGTCGATCTGCAGCTTGTAGGCGGACTTCAGTTCGACCAGATCCAGTTCCAGCTCCTCGGTGCGCTCCACCTTCTCGCCGTACATCTGGAGCAGGGCATCGTAGCGATGCTGCAGGTCCTCGTAGCACTTCTCCATGGCCTCGTATGACTGCATTTTCTCCTTCATCTGCGAATGGATACGTTCTTTAGACCAGCCCCAGATCTGTGGCAGACTCCAGCGACTCCTCTACTCACCGTCTCCAGTTCAATCGTCAAATGGGATATCTCTCCGTCGAGCACACCGCGCTCGGCCTGCAGGCGCGACAGCTCCCATTGGAGGTGTGTGAGCTCGCCGTCACGCTGCTTCAGCAGCGACTGCAGATGCTCCAGCGTTGTGGTGTTGCCCGCCATGAAGCTCAGGTGGACGCCCTGGATGATGCCCGACTGGTTGCGGCCCGAGTTGGAGGCACAGTCCAGGTCGTCCTGTGGATACGAAGCCAATGAGTCATCGCATAGCTGTCCCAGTGGGTGGCTTAGGCTTACCGTCTGCCAGTCAATGATGCCGCCCATCATCGCATCCTCCGTGGAGCCGCTCTCATCGGCCAGACTGAGCGGAGGCGAGTGCTGGCGCAGCGCAGAGTGTGGGGAATGAACCGGAGATTTATGCGGCTGCATTTCACTGCTGGCCTTGACGGCCTCTACGGTAAGCAGGCTGGGCATGGGCTGTCGCTGCAAGGTTTCCCGCTCAGCCTCGGCATCGGCCTTCTGCTGTTGCTGGCGCTGCTGGCACTGCTGCTGCTCCTCTAGGCCCACAATCCTCTCCTGATGCGCCTGCAGCTGCTCCTGCAGCGTGGCCAACTTTCTGTGGATCGGAATGGATTAAAAAACATTGCTGAGAGATCGGCAAACTACCGACAAACCTGCTGTGTGAGCTCTCCTTGAGGCTGGCATCGTGCTCCAGCTGGCTGAGGGCCATCCTGGCACTCTCCACCTCCGCCAGAGCGCTGGAGAGCTTCGCCTCGAGAAGGCTGCACCGCGTGCGCAGCAGCTCCTGCTTCTCGTTCTGCACCGACTCGAGCTGCTGCACCGAGCGCAGCTGCAGCTGGGCATCGTCGGCCCTCTGGATCAGCAGCTGCTCCTCCTTGTTCCAGGAGGCGGTGCGCTGGTTGAGGGTCTTCTGCAGCGACTCGATCTGGCGGATCAGCGGGGTGGTGGTGACGCTCAGCTCCTGCGTGGAGCTCTCCGCTCGCAGTTCGGCAGCCTCCAAGCGTCGCAGCAGCTGGCGGTTCTCCTCCCGCAGCTGCTGCTCCCGCTTGGCCAGACTGTGCTCGGCGTGGCGCAGCTTCTCCCGCATGTCGCCCAGCTGCTGGACGTACTCCTGATTCTCGGCCCTGAGGCTGTCCTGCTCCACGCGCGTCCGCTTAACCAGATCGCCCCGGACGCCGTCAAAGCTGGACTGAAGGGCCGACAGTTTCGACTGCAGATCCTCGACACGACTGCGGCAGTCGGCGTTCTCCTCATCGACGCGTCGCTTCTCGTGGGTCATTCGGCCCACCGCCTCGATCTGCGTGCGCTCCATTTCCTCCTTGGCGGCCAGGGACTTCTTGAGCCGCTCCGATTCGCTGGACAGCAGCGAGATCTGCTCGCCGTTTTTCTTGAGGAGCGTGTCCGAGGTCTTCTCCTTGGCGCGCAGCTTCTTGATGATGATCGACTGCTGGAGAATCTCCTTGGAGAGCTTCTCGCCCTCCGACTGCAGCGCTGCGATCATCTCGTTGCACTCGGCCAGCTCGTCCTTGGGTATCTTGTTGAGCAGCTCGTCCTTGAGGCTCTTGATCTGGATGCGCAGCGCGTCCCGCTCCCGTATGCTCGTCTGGAACTTCTTCTCCAGCGCCGACAACCGCTGTACGGCCTCCGCGGCATCCGGACTGTTGGCGCTGTTCGCCGCTGCCTCCACGGAGGCGCGAAGCTCCTGGTTGCGCTCCAGCAGCTCGGCGTTCTGTCGCTCCGACTGCAGCAAGCGCTGCTCGCGCGCCTCAATCACCTGGTTCAGCTCGCTAATGCGATTCACCAGCTTATCCAGCTCCGATTGCGAGTCCTCCGACAGCAGCGATATCTCTGAGGGCTCGCGATGGTGTCCCTTGGGCTTGAGCACCTGTCCAGTCAGCCCTGTGCCTGTCCCAGCCCCAGACCGGCTGCTGCTGCTGCCCAGCTCCTTGAACTTTTGCGGACTCGTGCGCGTCGTTGTGCTGTTGGTGCTGGAGTCCCCGTTCGGATTGGAAATGATCTCAATGTCCGAGGAGGTGGACGAGTAGCTCTGGTCGACCACCTCTGCTTTGGCCTCGCCCTCGCCATCTTGTCCTTGTCCCTTTCCACCGGCCTTGTCCTTGTGGCTCATCTGCATTTGGATGTCCTCGAAGCTCTGCGTGGAGTCTGAATCGGCGCCCGTCACATTGGCGGCCGCCTGGGTGTCGCTAAACACCAGGGCTTTCATGGTCTTTGTGGAATCTAAGAGGTGAATCCATTGCCAATGTATCCCACACAGTATCCACTCTGTTCCTGCAATACTCACCATTTAGATGGTCCTCCAGGTGCCGCTCCAGCTGGGTGCCATCGTCATCGTCGTCGTCGTCTTCGCCATCGCCTTCGGCATTGTCGGAGGTCTCGTTGCTGGCTATGATCACGATGCTGCCGGGCAGCGAGGGCTCCGTGTCCGGCGACATCTCCATCTCGCTGGCCGTCGTGGCCGTGATTAGCTCCAGCGAAGATTCAGAGTTCTCCATCGCGGAGGCGGCGTCGCCCTCGGGCGATGTGGGCGATGGCGAGGAGAGCAGATCGACGGAGTCCGATGTGGCTGAATGTCGCTTGGCATACGGATTACCCATGCCCATTGCTGCGGATGTGGATGTGGGTGTGGGCGTGGTTACGGCCGGATCGCTGGCTCTGGGTGGAATGGTTACCATCTCGTTGGCGTGTGGATTGTCGAAGAATGTAGGCGTGTCCGAGGATGTCGTCTGCGAGACGAGTGCGGCGCCAGAGCTCGTGGCGCCCGTGTCCGATGATCCTCCGCTTCCACCGCCACCGCCCGACCCCGCAGTAACGCCATCCTTCTCGGCGGCCTTGTCCCTGTCGTCATCCTGGATGTCGAGGGCCTCGATGAGCACCGTCTTGGCCTTCTCGAACCAACTCATCTCGCTGCGTGCCTGATTCTGAACTGCAACTGCAATCGAAATCAAATCAAATACCCCAAATATCAATATTGTTTTGCCCCTTTTTTGACGACGTTGCAGGAGGCGCATACAATTTTGTTTTGTCTGCTCTTGGTGGTGGGGTGGGGCTAGGGATCGGGGGGACTCGCAGGGATCGGTCTGACGGGTCCACTAACCAAGCACATGCAAATCCCAATTGTTTTCTCGCACAATTAGTTGATTTCAATAACACATAATACAAAAAAATTGTATTTCCAGCTCATACGGACCCTCAACTATCGATGGCGGCGGCTGCCAGCTGGCCTGCCCCCTATCGATAGGTGAGAGATTGTTTGGTATTTTTTTGCACTGCTTTCCATTTTGTACCGTGGTTCGACAGGCCAGACCTTTGGAAAGCATTTAAGAGCAGGTTTAAGGTGATAAATGTGTGAATATTACAAAATCTCTCAGCTGAGCAGCTGGGACAACTTTTTCAGGTGGACAGTATATTTAAATCTGACCCATCGACCTATCGTTTCAATGCATGAAAGTATCGATACCGCTAGTTCAGGCAGCATCTCACACATAAAAACATCGATTGTCGGGCACCTCTATTTTATAAAATTAATACAGTACACATAAAGCGAAACGAAAAACACAGTGCAGGCTAAACGGTCATTTAAATTAAGAGTGAAGTCAACGCGGATTGAGCGCAGGCACATCAAGTTTTTGGCATTCGATCCACAGGACACCATATACAGCAACAGCAACAATAACAATCAAACTACGCACCGAACCGAACCCCAGGCACCGACCGATTAACGCCCTCCCCGATCCCGACGCCTGCCCGCACTTTTGCACACTCATACACACACACACACACACACACCAGGGCACGAACACTCGCCAGCCAGCACCCCTCGCTAGCTCGCCGTTCCCCCCCGCGCATACACACTCACACACAGATATCATCTTTACGGACGGAGTGGACAGACCAACCGACGGGCATTCATTATCACCGCAGCACAAACATACACACACATACGCGGTGTTGCTATTGTTGTCTACTGCTCTCGACTGCTCCCCACCACCCACCCATCCATCCATCCATCCAGCTCCCAACTCCTGCTCAAGCGCGGCGCCCCGTCAAAGCAGTTAGAAGCAGACAAAGGAGCAGAGCAGCGCCTGCCGTCGGTAGGGGGGAGGGGAGGCCGGAACTGTCCGGCGCTAGTGTGTCCCAAAGGCAGCAGGAACGAGGCATCAAAGGAGCCCAGAAATCGAAATCCGAGGAGGAGCCGTGAACTGTAGCTGTAGAGGCTAGTGGAGAGGAGAGGCGAGGTGAGGAGGAGGCGGTGGAGGAGCAGCAGCAGCAGTAGCAGGAGGGGTTCTCTATGGGTCAAAAGGCGAGCACACCGGCGACCAGTGGCCAGCAGAGCCCGCGCTCAAGGACATTCTCGAGCAGCTCCACGGGAGCCGCTGACACATCGCCACAAGGTGGGGACTCGGGTGTCGTCGGCAGTCGCCATGTCGTCGGCGGTGATGGCGGCCAGGGGTTCAATTTGCTGCGCACGCTGCCGGGACTGCAGGTGTACCACAATCAAAACTCCAGTTCCATAGACAGGCAGAGGGCGCGCAGCCTCAGCTCGGTGCCGGACATCCAGCAGCAGCAACAGCAGCAGCAGCAACAGGGCTCGATCACCTCGTCCGGCAGCAGCCCACACGCACACACACACAACACACACTCACCACACACTGGCGTTGCCGTGTCCGTGTCGGCGAACCCGGCGAATAGCAACAACAGCTTCTCCGCTGCTGCCAACAACAATGGCACCTCGACGCAATCCTACATGCCCCAACGACGCACCCTAGGCGACTCCATACGGGTAAGTACAGCGTCGCACTCACTCCGATCCACTCATCAATCGTGGATATCTGCTATCCGCTCTGCAGGATATGGGACTCACTGGCGGAACCATCGCCGAGAGCATCGCCCTGGCCGCGTCTGCCACTTCCGCCAATGGGATCGGACGCGTTTACACAGCCACATCACTTCCATCGCACATCTGGTCCTTCAATGGTATGCCCTCCATCTGCTGCATCTCCTCTGCTGTGACTCAGCTGTGACTCATCTGTGACTCCCCTTACCTTCCGCAGGTATCAAGTGCCCAGTGTGCAACAAATTTGTGCTCCCCGACGACATTGAATGCCACCTGGTGATGTGCCTCACGAAACCACGTCTCTCATATAACGGTATGCCCACCTCCCACCACCCGCCACACCACTCCTTTCGTTTTCTAATCTCTTGATTGTCCTACGCCCTGACAGAGGATCTATTGTCGGACGCCAAGGGCGAGTGCGTCATCTGTCTGGAGGACTTGAGTCCAGGCGACACAATTGCACGGCTGCCATGTCTCTGCATCTATCACAAAGGGTGAGTAGGAGGAGTACATGCCTAAGGTGGGGCCATCGCATTGACAGCAGTAGTATATGCAATGCTCTCTGCTCTCTCTGTGTGCTTTCAGATGCATCGATCGTTGGTTTGAGGTGAATCGCTCCTGTCCCGAACATCCAGGAGATTAGTAATCATCATAAGGTAAGCAGAGCCACCATAGAAACAAGTGAGTGACCACTAGAATTGGGAATTATCAGAGACAAATGTCCCCAGCGGGGAGAGAAATGCAAGACCCACACAAGGGGGAGCCTTGGAAAGTATTTTAGGGTTGTATTTGTGGCAATATAAATGCACAATACGAGTACGTACAATATAAGAACATGCAATTATCCGCATTGACAAATGCTAGGGCAGGGGGCAACAGCATTTAAACGGAGAATGTGCAATTACTTGGACATTAATCAGAGCTAGCAGCAGCAACAGCAGCTGCTGCTTAATAGTATCAGATCTCTCAGACATGTGGCCATGATTTCTAATGCGAATATCTTGTTTCTATTGCAGTGTTTGCTGTTGATGTTTGCTCGTTGAGTTGTTCGTTATGCAAGAGATCGGGAAAGTACGGAGACGGAAGGAAGAGACGAGAACAAGAACGAGAAGTACTGGCAGCAGCACCACATTGGTGCCAGGTGCCAGTCGCCATCACCATTCGCCAGATGCCAGATGCTAGGTGCCAAGAGGTGCGTGGGCCAGGGGCTCCCCAGGCTACAGTTTTGCGTAACGTATGTTTTTAGATTTTTTAAATCTGCATGATAACTAGATAATATATTGATTTATTTTTCGAGCAGACAGCAGGGTGTGAAGAGGGGAGGAGATGCTACCGTATATCGGATAATTTGACTTACCGCCCCTCCGCGCGTAAACGTAACGACCCGATCGACTGCTGCAACACACATATACACACACACACAGCCCCCACGCACCCACAAACACACACACAAATCAATTGAAAGAAATTAATTTACAAAATGCTAAACTGGCATTAGTAATACATATATTATGATGATAGAAACGATACCAACCAACCCACAAATAAAACACCAACCACAACAACAAGGACAGAAGGCCACAACGTCGATGGATAGATGCGAGGGATCGAAAGATCGAAAGATGGAAAGATCGAAAGATAATGATGGGAATGTTAAGCGAAGCAACCAACCAACCAACAAAAGAATGTCAACCAATGTGATGTTAAATTTTATATTTTGTAACTATAACGATAATGCTGTAATTGTAAATGTAATTGTACGAGTACTATATGTTTATGTATATGTGTATGTATGTATTTATTATTTTAAAACAGAACTAAAACACTAGATTTAAACAACTAACAAACCAACAAGAATGAAACCAAGAACACCACAAAAAACCGCAAGGAGCAACAAAAACTCCCAACACCCAAAAACAACCCACACACATACATATAAAACAAACTAAAAACATATAATATTATGCGAAATTAGAGAAAATAAGAAGGGGAGAGTTAGGAAGGAAACGGTAGATAAAAAAGCAAAGCAACCAAAAAAACAAAAAAAAAAAGAACACACTAAAAACGCGAAAGAAAATAAGTAAAAATGTAAATGTAAAATTTTCACACAGAACTTTCAAACTAAACAAAACAATTAAAAGCTAAAAATGTAAAATTAAAACTTCCAGAAATCCACTTTCAGAGTCGATTTTAAAGATGTTTCATGATTTGTTCAAAACAATGCCCAAAATTTAAATTTGTCCGTTTGCCAGCGCGTTTTAAAGATTAGATTATCGCTAGTTTATACGATATTTTTATAATTTTTTATTCCTGTATATTCCCTGTTTTTTATCTGCATATTGTTTGCGTTTTTGTTTTAAACAAAAAAATACGAAAATTTTGATAAGAATGAAAGATAGGCGCGAGAATATTTTAAATATTTTTCACCCACTCTGTGCCCCGTTTGTAAAATGTGAGCATTCTGGTCAAGCACGAGGTCGTTGTAGGGCTGAGAGGAGGCCTCCGCCTCCAGCCATAACCGATGTATCCGATATCCGCCGAAGTCCGGTAGTAGTCGTAGGCGTTCTAGCTGTGCGTTTATTACGATTACAATTTACAATACTGTTTTTTTTTTTTTTATTGGAATGGATGTATTACCAACTACATATTATATATACAAATAAATATATATACTTTTATTATTGCTCATCGATACGGATCACGATGATCATGATGATGATGATTGATCCGCCAAAGTTTCCTTAGCAGCAAGCGGCGGCCGCTCTCGCTCGTAAGAACTATTTTGTAAATGATATACTTTAATGTATTGTACAGATACAGATGCAGATGTATATCTATATATACACAATATAGGTATATGTATAAATATAAATTGTAACTGTATAACCATAGCGTTGCATTGAACGATTGAGGATTGAGGAACACCGATGATTCTCTCCCAAAAATCTAAAAAGCATATTAAAAAATACAAAAAAAAAATAAAAAATTAAAACCAAAAGAAAACTATAAATATGAGGTACTATCGATCGATGATTGGCAAATTATTGATTTACATATATTTGATAATTGTTTGTAAAAAACCGAATACGAGTAGTAATTGAATGCCAATCACATTCTGTCTTGATCCTAGAGAACCCAAAAACCACAAGAGAAGGGAATCTTTCAACTTTTTACACCCCAATCAAAGCGCTTCAGGTGGTTAACTTGAATCCATGCTCGATTTATCGATTAAACAATCTATTACGCTCGCGATTACCACGTAAAATGACAAAACAAAAACAAAACCGAGATGAATTCTAGATAATAAACGAGTGATTATATATACCATATACAGAAGCAGTCTATGCGTCTTTCCGTCATTTTTTGTTGTTGTTGTTGTATCTGACATTCCCCAAACACAGTTTATTACACATACAAATCATATAATCATACATCAAATTTAATCTTTATTCAATATTTTAACTAGAATAAAATCAGGAAGGGCACACAATTGGAACCAAACTGATAACACCATATATCCATCCGCCTTAAACCAGGGACCGTAATTAATCAGATCAAATAACAATATACTTAGTTGTGCACGGATAGTGGGTATATACGCACTTTTTCGATTTAAAAAATATGGCAAACTTATCAAAACAAACACCAAGAGGCTGGGCCCTCGATTTAACGACAGTATGGTATTGTGTTTGTATACCCTTACAGGAGGAGAAGATATTATCATACATCTTTTCGGCTTATGAACTACATAAGCTAAACCTTAAAACCTTTTTTTTTCTGCCTAAAGTTAATGCAATGCAAAAGTGTTCAAGCGTTAATAACTTGAACATAATTCAGTCAAATGTGATCAAAAACTAAACTACAGACATACATATATCTACATTATGCGATTATAAAACACGTAAGAAGTATTGGCAACACATATTTTAGACACATGTTTACACGGTTGCGGAACTGCAAGGGTATAGAAATAACAATGCAATATAATCGTCAATTATCACGAGACATTTCTTCGTCCATCCGACATGACACACGCTTTTCGGAATCATTTAGTTGTATATGCACATTCTATTGCACTGAGCAGATGAGAACCCATCTCAAAATTAGTGGAAAAAGGCAAGCGGGGACTGTATTCATTCTGTATGAATAACAGGACCAGCCGGCGGGGACTATTGCTAGTTCTTCTGAAGATCTGAATACATATGGAAATATTATTTGGTTATCTTTTAACAAACGAAAAAGTTACTGCCATCCCTTTCCTTTTCATTGTGAGGGGCACTTCAGATCGGACCCACTGTGGGGAGTGGGTTGTAAGGCCACAGACAATCCATCATCCTACATCCCCTAGATGCTCCTACTGTCCCTGCTTAAAACTATGGCTTGCTTTGTAGCCTTTGGGTAGGAGTGGGACAGACATACAGACAGACGCGTAATGTCGGGTAGGAGCAAGGCGGATCAATATAGGATCGCTGTGGTTGTGGGTGTGGCTGGGGGGAGTGGATATATATGTGGTATATATGGTGTAGGGGCTACACATAAATTGATAACACAATTTTTGTTCATTAAAAAATAAAAATTCAGAGCGGACAGCGGTAGACGCAATGGGGTGGGGCGGGGGTTTGGTTTGCTTAAAAACAAAATAATTTGAAAATGTAACCGGTATTTGGGATCGGTATCTAGAAAAAAGAATATTAAACGTGTAAGGATTTGTGTACATCCCAGCACAGATCGAATCGAATTGAATCAGATCAGATCGGGTGGTGCGTGAGTCTTTCTGCCCATTGGTTGTGGGGACAGAGATATTGTCCAGTGGGGAGAGTCCTGTGTCTGGTTTCTCGTATTCTCCACCGCATTCGCGTCTCTATCGTTTCATCAGCATTTGCAGGTGTCAGGTGTCGTCCGGTCCGCCATGGCTCTGCGGGAGTCTTCCCTGGCTATTGGCTACTGGCTACTGGCTATTGGCTACTGGTTGCTGGCTACTGGTTGCTGGCTACAGGCTGGAGCATGCCCAGCCCGTCGCGGCCAGACCAGGCCAGGCCAGAAGGCCAAAAGAGTTACCGCCCAAAATGTTGAATGTAGTCGTCCGCTCCCCGTTTTGGGGAGTGCGTTTTGTTATATGTCAGTAAGGCCAAAATGCGGCCGTTTATCCTGGTGGTCCCTAGACCCATGGCGTCCAACCCTCGTAGAGGACGGCTAGATTGTCCGGATTGGTGGCGTCGCTTATCACATGGTCCACCTGCTCGGCAATGCTGCTGCGCTGGCTGCCGTCCGGATCGCGGCCCTCCAGCTTCATGCGTATCTTCTTCCAGACGGACACGCCATACGCATTGCGCTTCTGTTCGTGCAGATTACCGGCACCTTTACGCGATTGGGGGTAGGAGAAAGGGAATAAGCGTTAACTCTAGTTGGGAGAGGGATGCGGCACGTACCCTTGGTGTGCGTGAAGGTGTCGTAGGTGAGGGAGTCCGAGTCGGCGACCTGCAGCAGCAGCTCCTTGATCCGCTTAAAGTATTCGCTGGCCTCCTGGCCGGCCATGGCCTGGATCTGCTGCAGCTGATGCTGCCAGCCCTCGACGAGCTCCGGCTGCAGGACGTGCCGTTCCGCGCAAATGTCCTTGCGCAGGGCGGTCAGGTGCTCGAGGAAGCTCTGCAACAGCAGCTGGCTGTCGCGCAGATGGTCGCACAGCTGCTGCACATCCGCGGGCACACCCTTGCCCCCACCGTGCCCCATGGCCTTGGCATTGGAACAGAAGTTGCCCACAAAGAACCGCGGCACATGCTCCAGCAGACGCTTTTTTTTGGTGAAATTCAGGGAATGGGATAATCAGAACAGAGATCAGAGCGCAGAGCGCAGAGCAGGGGACAGAACTTACCTGCGTCTCCTTGAGCAGGGTGCAGATGAACCGCAGCTTGGCCTGCTGCTCCCCCGAGAGTATGGCAAACTCGCGCTGCACCTTGCACGTCTGCTCCTCGATCAGGCCCTGGACATTCTCCATCCAGTAGTCGTCGATGCCATCCTCGGGATCCAGCAGCTCGACGACGGCCTGCTCCACCGCACTGACGCTGGCACAGCTCGCCTTCCAGTTGCCGAACGCCGCCAGCCACTGCTCCAGATGGTTGTGCAGCGTTTGGATCTCCATTCCGGAACCCACCGAATCGACTATGATCTGCTCCAGGTGGCAGACGGCACTGGCACCCTCCATTAGCTGACGGACGAGCGCCACTTGGTCGGACACCTGGCGGCGCTGCTCCCGCTCGTTGCGCAGCAGGCTGTCGATGTGGTTGCGGTTCCAGTTGCTGCGCAGCGCCTCCAGCTGCCCCAGCTGTGCGTCCAGACCGAGCAGCAGCTGCTCCAGCCCGTCCACACTCCGCACCAGGTCGCCCCAGCTCTGGCCAATGTCCGACGCCAGCTTGTGGCGGCACACGATATGCGGGCCGCCGCGCAGCTGCGATCCGAGGGCCTCCGAGTAGCCCCAGAACTGGGCGGAGGCCACCAGCGAGTGGAGTTCGATTTGCTGTCTAATCAGGGCCACCTCCTGCTCCTGCTGCAGCAGCTCCACGTCCGTTTGCAGCGCCATAAAGAGGCCGCCGCACAAATGCTCGGCCTTCTCCACATCCGACGGCGTGAAGGTGTTCTCGGGCGGCTGGCAGGTGGAGCCGTAGCCTCTGTAGTAGTCATAGGCCACCTGGGCCAGCAGTCCGGCCAGGCATTTCTTCTCGATGCAGTGCACCAGAGTGCCCATGGGTCGCGACATCTCGCGCACATCGCAGCTGCTGCTG